CATTTCAAACGTTTTTTTCACTAAATCCTTATAGTTTTTATGTTATTTTCTTTAGCCTATCTCAAAACGAGATCGATTAATTCGACCAACCTCGTAACCACCAAACCAAAAAAATTGAAATAAACCTAAATTAACCTTCTTTCCTTTCTAGAATGACTTCAACTTGTAACCTGAAACTACATTCGTTTATCCTAAGTAGCTCTTAGTTTGTAACATTATACATCTACTTATAATTAAATGTTATTGTTTTATTGCCCCCTTTTAATTGCCCTTTGAACCATGTATAACTGCTATCCCTGCAATTATAAGGTGTAAATCACTTGGGGAACGTGCAGTTCACATTATGCTATCAAATTACATTACCCACGAGCTGCTCGAGTGCAGGCCTCGTGAACCATTTTAATTATATTATTATTATTTACTTATTTTACCTAATCTAAACTTAAATAACTTAAAAAGATCCATACTTTTAATTTTAGTTACTTTTATAATAATAAATAGAGAATAAATATGAAAAACAAGAAATAAAGTACTTATCCAATCTTCTTTTTTCTTGCCCTTGATTGTTGAATAGAGTTAAGCCTGATTTTTTTAAGTGATTATAGTAAAGCACTTAACTTTTTATTTAATTAAGTAATACACCAAAGAATATAGACTAATAACATGCAAAAAGTAGACAAATTCACTTACTTCTAAAAATTTTCCTAGATTTCTAACTATGCGACAAAAGCCATTACAAATTCATTCAAGCTAGTCGTTAACTTTCCCACAGGAACAATGTTGCTTCTCCGAGTGAAATTGACGGTCATCTGTTCAGAACACAACATTACACAACACGCCATTTGATAGATGAAAACCTTGACTTTCTATTGGTTATAGGTAATATATAATGAAACGTAAGAGAACTCTCAACGAATTGTGAAAGAAAGGATGTGACAAGTTGGTGTGGCAGGAGGGGGCTGATTTTCTATTTGATAGCTCTGTAACTAAACAAAATTGAAGGCTATAAAAATTATGGTCTGTTTGAGCAATAATGATTTTATTGAGAGTATTTTAAGTTTAATTTCGTACATTTTCGAGGTGTGATGGATAAAATAGGGATGATGACATGCTAAGACAAAATGTGTACCGTGCGTCGCAATAGTGGAAATTCAGAATTTTTTTATATATTCCCTTGTATAATTAAGAACTTAAAACTTGTATACTATTAAAATATGGATTATTAGCTAAGATTTTATGCTATTCTAATTGGTATAACATAAACAAAAAGTAGTATAATAAAATTTTGAATGTAAGACACTAAAACCTTGTGTCATGCACAGTAAAGGGCACCCGTGGAGAAAGGGTTAATGCACTAGAAAATGTGAAAAAATGTGTCCACTGTGAAAATCTTGCTGAAATATAGTTGTGAAAATCCATGTAAACTAGAGTAATGTGAACAGTAGCGACACAAATAATAATATGCAACAGTAAAATCAGGAACCTTTCTTGTGGCAGTTTCCAATTAATATGCTAGAAAATGCACGAGTTGTAGTTTCCAACTAATGCACATATTGCAGCATGACAAAATTAAAATCAAATTAAGCTTAAAAGCATTATAATTTTTTTCGAAATTCCTGTGTGACCCTACACTACTATATAAATTACTTGCAATAATTTTATAGTGGGGTCATAATAGGGATTTATAGCTTGAACAAACTGTCAGCAGTAGATATCCAGCCTTGTTTGCTTAATTTTTTGCAATCCTTATTTGTACATTTTAAGTTTTCAATTTTTAATTATCTTGTATGTTAGCTTTGTTAATGCACAGCAATGGGAAAATATATGCCTAGAGTAAGACGACCCCCACTGTTACAACATTTTACCAGTAGAATAGCAGCCTTTTCAAACAAAATACATCTAAAACATCTGTTTAAATAAAGCTCTGTGTTTGTTAAAGTAATTATTTACTGAGTCAGGTGGCTTTGTGCCTGAAGTTTCATGTAAACACAACCATTTAAATCAACTTTTAAGTAGGTCATGGACACTCACAGCATTTTATATAGTACATCTCTAGGTTTTGATGCAAAATATCTAGCTGATTTTGCCTAATAATTGTGAAATCACTTATTTTGCTTATTATCAATGTTTGGGTGATCTTTACTACTGAAAAGAAAGGTTATGAATGTTGTTTCAAGAATAAGTCTGCTTTTTTAAGGTGGTATTTACCCAAACGTTCTATTAGAGTTTTGAGCAAATTCCAGTGTGATGCCTATTATGAACCACTACTGTGGTACATGATACTCAAATAAATGGCTTACATGTGATCTTAAGCCATGCCAGAGGTAAATGTTTCTGTATTGTTTGTTTGAATAGGCTACCTTACATGAAGTTCATACAGCAACACATACACACTAGCTTGATACTTAAGAACAAAAGCTGCAATATATAGTCTATACCTATAAAAAAGATTAGAATATGTCTGTGAATTTGAGACATCAGGTCAATGAAATGTTATAGCTACATATAGGAACTACTTGGAAATGTAAAAAAATATTATATGGGTATAACTTAATAAATATATATTCTATACTCATTACAGAGCAGTTAAACTCACAGCTATTACACACAATATGTTATGTAAGATGCTTAAAAACCTACTTCTACTAATTCTTTGTGCTCGTCATTGAAATATCTCAATTTTTCTGTCACTTTTCTGTCTTCTTGTTTAGTATCCATTTCATCTTTCATTGGAACCAGGCTCTGTATGAACATAATTGTAATTTGATTCATTATGGCTGCTTTAAAAACTAAGCAACCTATCATACAAAACATAAGTATTATAAACAAATAAATAAGTACTACCTGATAAGTAATTATAATCATGTAAAACACTAAGAAGCTTATACCATAACATACTGAATCCAACAGCCCAGTTAATTTTGACATTAATATCTCCAAACAAATTTAACAATTATATAAAACTGAAAATCAACATACAAATACCAAAAACAAACCAATTTTTAATATCAATTGATTATATAATCTATTCTGTACTCTAAATTCAACAATTAATATATTTTTTAGGATGAGCAAATAACTAATTCTCATGCACAAACAAAGCACATACCAAGATTTCTAGGACACACCTTTGCTCAGTATTAGCCACAAAAAAAAGAAAAAATTACTGTTCAATTACCCTAAACTTTTAAAAACAATGAATATGAATTAAGTAAGTATTAAAAATTTGAGTTATAAGGTTAGAAAATGCTGTCAGAGTCAAGTAAAATAATCATTTTTCTTTACACTTCCTACTGAGGTCTGATATTAAAGTATTGCTTATTTTTACAAAAGAAAACATATTAATCAAATACAATGAAATCTGATTAATATTACATATAAATTCAGACAAATTCATGTAATTTTCTTCAATATGTAACAATTTGTTAAACTTACAGACTAGTGTTTGTATTAGTTACATTTAATACTCTTTTTGATATTTATTGCACCTAATGTTTTTCACAATTTTGCAGAACATGAATTTTTAACTTTACAAAATTAATTTTATAATGTATTTCAATAGCACAGTCCATATACATGTAAATTCACACTTAACAAGTATTTCTACAGCACAGTCCAAACATGTTTAGTCCACACTAAATAGAATAGGATTCCCGAATTACAAACTCAGAATTTAAACTTTCATTCCCTTTTGACAAATTAAGATAACTTAGATAATATTCAATTATTTGCACTAAATGTATGTATAAATGTACTAAAGTTTATTATCATTTTCCATAATTTTTTTTATTAACATAACCTACATTTGTTAATTAAAATCTGGACAATATATTTTTACATTTTTGACTGATAATTGCTGGATAATATAACTAGGAATTTTTCAGTTTTTTTTAAATGCAATATATTATTTGAGAACTTCAAAGATGGAAATAACTCCTTAAATCTATAGCAATAACTTTAACACAATATCAAACCTGCACAGCAATTTAAAAATACTATGTTACAATTTTTCTTGTACAATTGGAATTCATTTTTCTATGAGTTGTATGGTTAGAAAAACAGTAGGATGAAACAGGCATGCTATTTATTTAATGAACAACATAATTTACTATGCTTTATGACTAATTTATCTTCAACAATACCATGTAATCTTAGTTAACTATGCATAAATGTATTGACAGTATGAGAAATTATCATATCATATGAAGTAATCTTTCTTTTTCTTGTACTTCTTTGAGGCCCTGGTGGCCTACATGATAATTATCTGACTCTATCATTGAATTTTCTTCCTACTATTTCAGTGGGTTCAAAATTGGTGTGCATGGGACTCAGTGCTGATGTCCATTGGATATTCAATTGTTTTCCCTCCCAGACAATTATGTCAGTCATTATTTAACTCTTGGTATGGTTAAGAATGATCTCTTCACCCTTGCATCAGAAGGTGTTAAGAAGTTGAGTGTTACAATTATTAATATTCACCAAATGTGGTTAATTATCAAAATATATAGGACTCATGACAGACTTTAAAACTTCTTTTCTTAGAAGGTATTTCAGGCGCTTTTACCTTTCATTTTAGGGTATATTTATAGACATATTGATTGCATGTCAAAAGAGGTAATTTTCTTTATTCAACTTACTAGTAAGGCCTTACTTGGAATACTGTGTACAATTTTGTTTCTATCTAAGAAAAGGTTTTCACCTGTTGGAAAGGGTTCAGATATGGGCTATATCAGCATAACTTCTGAGATGGAAGGGTTATTTTACAAGGACAAGCTAGGATCAACTTATTTTCTCTTAACAAAAGAAGGATAACAGGTGATCTTATTGAAGTTTACAACATTACCTGGAGGACCAATAGAATAAATACCTCAGATTGCTTTGTTCTCTATTCTTAAAATAACAGGACAAAGAGACAAAAGTTTGATATATATTTCTTTAAAGAGTGATTAAGTCATGGAATGAGTTGCCTTCAGCATTAGTGGAGGCTAATACTTTACAAAAGCTTAAGAGGGGAATCTATGGTTTCCTGAAAAAATAAGGAGAGTTAACTTTTAACATGCGCAAAGACAGCCTTGATGAGCCAAACTTTCTCTTTGTGTCTATATATATTATGTTAGTCTCCATTCATAAAAGTTAAGTTTTGATTGATTTTATTATGATAAGTAGCATGATTATAATTCATTTTCAATTCAAAATACTTAAGAAAAAATCTTCAGAGCTTTCATTCACAGCCAAACACACAAAGGACCTCTACTGTCTTACCTGATCAGTGTTTACATGACATTATGTACAGAAAGAAATTTTAGCGGAAATGTCTGAAAATGAAACAAATTTGAGCAGGGTTGTTGTTTGGACATGAACAAGTGCATTGAAAAATGTAATTCAAATTAACTTTATTTTCAATTCAAAATACTTAAGAAAAAATCTTCAGAGCTTTCATTCACAGCCAAACACACAAAGGACCTCTACTGTCTTATCTGATCAGTGTTTACATGACATTATGTACAGAAAGAAATTTTAGCGGAAATGTCTGAAAATGAAACAAATTTGAGCAGGGTTGTTGTTCGGACATATGAACAAGTGCATTGAAAACTGTAATTCAAATTAACTTTAGATTTCATTACTTTTTTCTGACTGTAAAAATTAAGAATAAGAAAATGATTATTAAAAATATAGTGTTATTAAACTTTAAGTATTCTATTCATATATTTCTGAGTTCTCATACAAAAGTAGCATCATGAAGGTACACAGAAAGTTTTGGTTAATGTGTGTGAAAAAGTAACCAAATACATTTATGACATGAAATCAAAATAAGGTATATGTACATATTATGAACTGACTTGATTCATATAAAAAATAGAGTTTGTAGATGTTACATTGTTTCCTGTTTATGCAGAAACCTCAGTCTCACTACTATTAGTGAAATGAAAGTATTTTATTGGATTGATTTGCATATTTGGGTGAGCTGTCAAGCAGGCGATCTGTTAACTGGTCATGTCTGATTAGACTTGCCTTCACACCTAGAGTTTGTAATCAAATTAAACATGACATTAATCGAATTATCAGGCAGCTTGTTTGTAAAGCAGTTCATAATTGAATGTGGAGTGGTAGTTGTTGAACCTTTGAAGACAAAATAATAATTAGAAATCAGCCTGATTGTTAAAGTAGAGAATGCCAACTTGGACATGTAATTATTACATAATAGGCTTATTAAATCAACACTCACTACATTTATAAGGTTTCACGGCACACCCCCCCCCCCCCCCCACCAGCACCCCCATCAATAAAATTGTAAGGAACAGACAGTAATCAAACTATTCTATCTGGATAAATGCTTTATGACTCCTCGTATTTCGAAAAATCAAGAGACTAGCATATAACCCATCAAAAATGATGGGGCAAGTACGACCACCCCACTCCATAATACATGCTAACCTCACATTTCATAGCTAACTGAAATAAATTTGACCAATGAAGAGACAGAAAAGTGCAGTCGGGGCAGTCAAACATCAGTAAATTTCTTTGTGAAACAATCAAAATTAAGATCATTCATGAAATGAATTTGTGCCATATTCATAGAATAATTATTTGTAAAAATCACTTAGATTAACAACTTCTAATATATAGAAAAGCCAGTACATTTTGTTAACATTACTCTCAAACAATGGCTTTTATGTCATGTCGCTTAGTAACACAAGTATAACCTAATATTATTGTTAATCTATCTAATGAAAGCATAAAATGAAATGTATAGACAACAAAACTGGAAAAAATATTTTTCTTAATTTAGTCTCCTTTGAAGAGATTTGTTTTTCAGTACAAATGTTGGTGATATAATAGAAAATAGCTTAATTCAAAACCAATTTAAGTTTAAAACTGAATCAATATTTTTACTTTCTATGATAAATCTTATGCACATAGGTCGTCTAGGCGTAGGT